CAAAATTTTGACGACTCTACTTTTTCCGCCTTTGAGGAGGACGTTGTAACGTCGAAACATGTAGAGTCGTCAACTATTTTGAAAGCCATAGATAGGCCTAAATAAAATGTTTTTAACTGTGTACCGGTTTAACGTTGAATATTATTTATGATTTCAAAAGGTTGTTGTTAATGGAGTCCAGGCATATTGACCACTCGTTACTGGTTGGTACATCAGAAATCAATGCTTGGGCCTTTGCGTTTTCTTAATTAAGTTAACGATACTAATAGGGCATAATTAGTAGAGTTTGCTGATAACATTAAGGTTTTTAGTATTTCTGGCTGTATTGAGGATATTGAGGAAAGACTGAGATCAATTAATTAATCGAGGAAATATTTGGAAAATAACCTTCAATTATAGTAAATGCTAAAAATAATCAAACGTTTAATATAGATGGGAACCCACTAAAGAAAGGAACTGGGTATATTTTTAGATAGGCCACTCAAGCCATCGAATCAGTGCTCTGTTACTATTAGCAAAGCTAAAAAACTTTAAAGATGTATTTATAGACTTATTGATTACAAGTTAAAGGTGGTAATTAACTTTCTAAACAATTAACTAGATAAGCCTCATTTGTAACACTGCGTACAGTTTTGTTTTTTTATCTTAGGATATTGACTTATTAGAAGGGGTTCAGAGGAGGGCTACTAGGATGATTCCATAGATTTATCTTACGAGGATAAGTTAAGATATCAGCTTATCCTCTCTCTCTTGAGAAAAACAAAAGATTATCTGGGATATCGATAGGATATATGCCTCAGATTGCTTGGTGATGTATACTTAAGGTAATACGAAGAGAGCAAACAAGTTTACGATTTGGAAAAGATAAACACGTCTTCAATTAAAACAGTTTTATTTTATATCAGTGTTACTGGCTTAAGAAAAGAATTGCCGCTAGCAGTAATGGATGCCAATATTTTAAACGAGTTTAAGGGGAAAATCGATTAAAATAAGATGAGTTAAAATGTTTTAATTTTCTCAAGGATTGGTGTGAAAGTATACGGTCTCTTGTTGTTCGTATGTTCAGCTATTCTCACATTGATACATTATAGACACCGATAGCTATATCTGATGTGATTGTGTAGATAATGATTAAACATACCATGTCATTCACTACAATCATTGACGCTATAATAAATTTTCGTCACAAACATTTATGAGACACTAGTTTTACTTAATACAGATCTAAGCGCACTTCCAATTTCGTTTTGGAAAATTTTGCTGTACAGAACTTTGTTATAGAGTGAGAAATTAAAGACTTCATACAACTGAACTTTTAAAGGTCTTAAACTGAGAAATTAAGACTTCATACAACTGAACTTTTAAAGGTCTTACACTGAGAAATTAAGACTTCATACAACTGAACTTTTAAAGGTCTTACAGTGAGAAATTAAGACTTCATACAACTGAACTTTTAAAGGTCTTAAACTGAGAAATTAGGACTTCATACAACTGAACTTTTAAAGGTCTTAAACTGAGAAATTAAGACTTCATACAACTGAACTTTTTAAGGTCTTGCACTGAGAAATTTAGGCTTAATACAACTGTATTTTTAAATGTCTTAAACTGAGAAATTCAAGCTTCATACAACTACACTGTTAAGGTCTTACATTGAAAAAATTCAAGCTTTATACAAAACTACATTTTTAAGGTCTTACATTGAGAAACTTAGGTTTCATACATCTGCACTTTTAAATGTCCTAAACCGAGAAATCCAATCTTTATACAATTACACTTTTAAAGGTCTTAAATTGAGAAATTCAAGTTCATCCAACTACACTTTTAAAGTCTTAACTACAAATTTCAGGCTAAATAAAGCTGCATTTTTAAAGGTCTTACACTGAGAAATTCAAGCTTTATACAACTACACTGTTAAGGTCTTACATTGAAAAATTCAGGCTTCATACAACTACACTTTTAAAGGTCTTACACTGAGAAATACAAGTTTTTATACAAGTATACTGTCAAGGTTTTACATTGAAAAATTCAGGCTTCATACAACTACACTTTTAGAGATTTTAAACTTCACTCTTAAATCTCGAAACAAAGAAAGTAAGATTTAAACAGATAGCCCTCGTATAGCTTTGCGCGAAATTCAAAACAAACAAACAAACAAACAAATCTTTGCCCTAAGAAAAACAACTTTGATGGCGTGACGTGGCTGTATGGCTTTACTCATCTGACAATCATCAAATGATCAGAACCTAAGTATTTCTCTAAACTTCTAAAAACAATTTCAACTTTTTCCTGGCGCATGAAATTAAATTCTATATCAATACGTGCTATAGTTTGTTCGTTTGTTTAGTAGTTAAGCACAAAGTTACACAATGGACTATCTGTGCTCTGCCCACCACGGGTATCGAAATCCGGTTTCTAGCGTTGTAAGTCCGCTGACATACCACTGTGCCACTGGGGGGGGGGGGGGGGGGTAGGCACGTGGTAAAGGATTTATTTTCAGTTGTCCGAAATAAGCTAAAGATTTTAAGAAATAAGCGGGCCGAGCGTGGCCTTGTAATCACATGATGAACTGTGGATCCGCGAGTCCACTGTTGGCGTTCCGCTACTGTAAAAAAAAAAGTGCTCCGCCCCTCGGAGCCGCGGGTGAATTATAAGGGTAACAATCAAATCCCACTATTTGGTCACACGAGGGCACCCCAAGATCTGGCGGTTGACGTTGTTGATTAGTCGCCACCTTCTAGACTATCATTTCAAAATTAGGAACGGCTAGCGCGTGTAGCCTTTAAGTAGCTTTGTGCCAATGTTTGAAAACAAACAATCAGAGATACCCAACTGGTCTTATCCGAATTATTGTGTTTTTACATCAAATGAATCCGTGACTATTGGAAACCTACTGGAACCGGTTTATACGAGTCGGATATGATATTTCTGATTGGTCAGAAATTCTAATATGATCGTGTAAGAACTATGATGTCACAGGTTGTGTCAGGACTTGCTCCGTGATCACAGAACTTTGGCTTTATTAGTTGGATCGTGGCAGTGATTCTGTCTGGATCCCAATATTATTCGTGGTAAGTTATACATCATAATTATTAATTATTCGTGAATAGGTCTGTTGTAATTAAAGACAATAATTAAACACCATTAATGAAGAGTTGTTATTTAAACGGTGATTTCTGAATGAATTTCTTTATACCATGTCTGAATTCATCTCATCACTAGATGGCGTAAATTTGTTGTTTCTGGATACTAACATTATTCATGACAAGCTATTAAGTAATTACACATTGTTTATTCGGGGTTATCAGTTAAAGATTTCCTCTCGACTTCAAAAAGTTATTTGGTCTCAAAGGGTTATGCAGAATCAAAGTGTTAACTGGAGTTATTTCTATACGTCAAGGAGGTATTGGATTCAAGGGATTAGTCAATATGGTTGAACCTGAATATCTTGAGGTCAAAGTGACATTTTGATAATCACACTACATACAATATTATGAAAATAATAACAACGTAAAAGTAAAAAATTTGATCGTTTAATGACTATTACAAGTATAACACGACCTTATGTTTTATACATAGCTGTTGGTCCCAACTTATTTATAAACGAGTTTCCAAATAGAATAAACGTAAAGCGCCACAACTGTAGCTGAAGTTGAATCTAAACGGAGATTAAAGTGTCTAGAACATCAATTCATTTGATATACAGACGAAGACTCTTAAAAGCTTCTTGTCAGACATACTGGTCTACCAACAATTACGCTTCAAAGTGGCGTTGTTAAGAATATCATAATATTGCAACGAAGTGCATTCGACATATCGGATAGACACAGACAGACTCCTTCTGGGAGGTACAGAACGTATAATCAGGCTTCTATCAGGATTAAAAGGAATGGGATTAACATGAACGAAATCAAATCACAGAAAACTCACTCGTTTGGTTTAGAATATTTGCGCAAAGCCACACAAAAGGCTATCTGCGCATATCCGTCACTAATATGATCTGACAGACAAGAATGAAAGTAACTAGTAAAGAGCACTTATCGCCAGCATTTTGGCTCCTCTTAAGTGACCGGACAGTGGAATTTGACCGTCGGTCTTATAGCGCACCCACAGCCCCAAAGCGCGCTTTTGCAGCAACGAGCCGCGAACCCTGGATCTTTAGATTCAATAGTCATGCACTAGTACACACCCGGTTCCGGATATACTGAGCACAGTTGTTTTTCGCTCTTATTTAACGGAGTTTCTCCCGCGTATTTTTTTTTTTTTTTAATTGTACATGATCCACAAGGATCAACCGATGGCTTGGAGTTACAAGTACGGCAACATGTGAATTTACTATTGTGTCAACGATCGTGTTTCTCCTCATGTCAGTTACAATCACACGATCAATGAAAACAGTGTCTGAAGATCAAACAGCAACTATTATTCAAGTGGTAGTTCCGGGAATTTAATTTCCGTTTCTGGCGAGCTGGCGAACTAGATTATCCGTGATCAGGCGACCGGAAAATTGGTTCAGGAAAAGCGT